ATGTCAAACCCTGGTAAGGTTCTTCGCGTTGCATCGAATTAAACCACATGCTCCACCGCTTGTGCGGGCCCCCGTCAATTCCTTTGAGTTTCACTCTTGCGAGCGTACTTCTCTCTGCCTCTGCGAGCAGCGTCTGTTGCTCTAGCAGTTTCTCTTGGATCTCCTTCTTGCGCCGCTGCGCAGGGGTCAGAGGAGGGGGAGGTGGAGTTGAGGGTGAGGATTGGGCCTCATCCTTAACCACTACCTCCACCTGCCCTGCACCTGTGTCAGCGGTTTCAGACATCTTCCCTCTCAAAACAACACAACAAATAAATAAAACAGCAGGAGGTGCAACGATTTACAGATCTCACAGACACTCAAATTTCGCTGCACTGTCAATTCAAAGAGCAATGTGGGTTAGTGGGCACAGGCGGTTAGGGTTGGAATAGAACCGCTGGAGTCAGTAATAAGGCTGACTAGGTATCCAGTAAAATCATTCACTAGTGATTCCCTCTACCTGACACTGCACTTTCACTGGAGTTGCAAGATGCACATTCACAACATTCCAGAGGTCACTAGCATTACAAAGCCCATCAGAAAGCAGAGCAAATTAGTAGTATTGATGGGAACAGGCAAGAATTAATTGAAACAGGGTAACAAGTACTAGCGATTTAGTAAACTACACCCTAACAACCCCAAAGTCAAATTTCGCCACTGTTGACATCAATAGAAATAACCCTAGATATGGCAGATTTCAGGATTGCACTGTAATGACCCAATTGCAATGTTTCTGGACTAGCGCTTTAGCACAAATGCTAAAAATAGAATTGCGATTCACCCCAGACTGACAGACTTGAATTCTGACGGACAAATTTTGAGTTGCGACTGACCCTAGACAGCCTAGACTATAAATAGACCCAGTGCAAAACTCAAATCCACAGTATCACTACCTTTTCAGGACAGAATTCACAGAATGAACATACATGATGCAGCGCAATACTGTCAAGCAGTCCCAGAACAATTTTGAGTCAGAACAGGTCAATAGATGAAGAGATATGAGTCAGGGTAGGGAGGAAGAAGATGAATATGGCTGTCTTGCAATCTGACAATTTCGCAATTGTTACACTACTGACAGACAGACCACCAATCCTACTTCTACTGAGGCTAATCTAATCGCTACTCAGGGATTCATATGGAACAGACTCACTTGAAGTGTTTCACTCAGTGGGTGATGAAGTTTTGGCTATGGCTGCCAAACCCTGGTCCCGCCAGTCCTTGCAGACAGTCTTCCAGAGCTTCCCACGCATAAAATCTCCTGAAACTTGTTGATCTGCTCCAGTATGATGTGGCGATTCACCCTTCACCCTCAGATTCACTGAATCTGGCTCTGTGGCGAGAGAAAACTTTCCTGAAGATTTATCGCCCCTGCAGGGATAAGCCGCTGGTGCTAAATTTAGCCCTGGGTAGGGTCAATTTAGCAGGAGGGGATCTTACGATCAATCCTCCCTCAGCGCTGTCGGTGCGAATACCCTTACAAGGGTATCCGCCCTGGGTTTTTGCAGATGACAGGGAACAATGAGTTTGGTTGAAATAAGTCGTGCGAGGCACGACCGCGTCCGAGACCCGCCCTGGCTAAGTTAGGGGGTATGTGGGCGCGCGAATTAAGGCGCGCGTGTGATTTCTTTGATTGAGTGAACGGCCGGCCTAGTCGACCAACCTGGACCGTGCTACGGTTTTGACTAAGGGATAAAAGTCCGCTTCGGGTCAGCATGCACGGTCGACGGTAGGACTGGCGCGCGGGGTGGCCCGTGGGATAGCCACGCCGCGGTTCAAGTAGGCTGGTGCCGGTGCCTGGTGATGGCGTGCTGGCCGTGGTTGGACAGGAAGGCCCAGGCTGTTGTTCCCAGGCCTAAGCGTGGCGCGGCACCACCTCATATTGGAGTTCGCGCTCCATTGCACCAGGCTTGGGCTTAGCACTATTGGTTACGGTATTGGGCTATTGCGGTGGAAGTGTTGGGATCGAGGCCAGCGGCGTTGGCGCGGCGGTAGCGGAGCGTATGGAAAAGCTGAGGGGGTTGAGGGCCCGACGGGGCTATCCCCCTTCGGCTTTTGTTGATGGACTCGGCAATGGACCGGGTCCACGGGGCCGGTAGGGCGTCGTGGCCTCCGCATTTTGCTCGGGATTTTTTTGGCTATGATTATCTTATTTCGCCCTTGTTACCGTTTTCTTTTTTTTATATTGTTTTATTATTTTCGTTATTGTGCGCGGTCCCGTTTGACTTGGGACGCAGTGCCTCGACCGAGGGTTCAAGTTTCGAAGAACCGTGGGTGGGGTACCACCGCGATTAGGTCCTTCGGGGTGCCCGTTACAATTGGAACTGCGCAGAGGAGGTTTGCGCGGCCCCGCCCCAGCGTGAAGGTAGCACACAA